TCAAGACTACTTTGGCTATTCGGGGTCTTTTGTATCTCCATACAAATTTTAAGATGATTTGTTCTAGTTCCGTAAAAACTGCCACTGGTAATTTGATAGGGATTGCATTGAATCTGTAGATTGCTTTGGGTAGTATAGTCATTTTCACAATATTGATTCTTCCAATCCAAGAACATGGTATATCTCTCTATCTGTTGGTATCATCTTTAATTTCTTTCAACAGTGTCTTACAGTTTTCTGCATACATGTCTTTTGGTCTCCCTACGTAGGTTTATTCCTAGGTATTTTATTCCTTTTGTTGCAATGGTAAATGGGAGTGTTTCCACAATTTCTTTTTCAGATTTTTCATCATTAGTGTATAGGAATGCAAGATACTTCTGTTCATTAATTTTGTATCCTGCAACTTTACCAAATTCACTGATTAGCTCTAGTAGTTTTCTGGTAGCATTTTTAGGATTCTCTATGTATAGTATCATGTCATTTACAAACAGTGACAGTTTTACTTCTTCTTTTCCAGTTTGTATTCCTTTTATTTCTTTTTCTTCTCTGATTGCCGTGGCTAGGACTTCCAAAACTATGTTGAATAATAGTGGTGAGAGTGGACATCCTTGTCTCGTTCCTGATCTTAGAGGAAATGCTTTCAGTTTTTCACCATTGAGAATGATGTTTGCTGTGGGTTTGTCATATATGGTCTTTATTATGTTGAGGTAGGTTCCCTCTATGCCCACTTTCTGGAGAGTTTTTATCATAAATGGGTGCTGAATTTTGTCAGAAGCTTTTTCTGCATCTATTGAGATGCTCATATGGTTTTTATTCTTCAATTTGTTAATATGGTGTATCACATTGATTGATTTGTGTATATTGAAGAATCCTTGCATCCCTGGGATAAATCCCACTTGATCATGGTATTTGATCCTTTTAATGTGCTGTTGGATTCTGTTTGTTAGTATTTTGTTGAGGATTTTTGCATCTATATTCATCAGTGATATTGGTCTGTAATTTTTTTTTTTTTTTTTTTTTGGTAGTATCTTTGTCTGGTTTCGGTATCAGGGTGCTGGTGGCCTCATAGAATGAGTTTGGGAGTGTTCCTTCCTCTGCAATTTTGGGGAAGAGTTTGAGAAGGATGGGTGTTAGCTCTTCTCTGAGTGTTTGATAGAATTCACCTGTGAAGCCATTGGTCCTGGACGTTTGTTTGTTGGAAGATTTTTAATCACAGTTTCAATTTCATTACTTGTGATTGGTCTGTTCATATTTTCTATTTCTTCCTGTTTCAGTCTTGGAAGGTTATACCTTTCTAAGAATTTGTCCATTTCTTCCAGGTTGTCCATTTTATTGGCATAGAGTTGCTTGTAGTAGTTTCTTAGGATGCTTTATATTTATGTGGTGTCTGTTGTAACTTCTCCTTTTTCATTTCTAATTTTATTGATTTGAGTCCTCTCCCTCTTCTTCTTGATGAGTCTGGCTAATGGTTTATCAATTTTGTTTATCTTCTCAAAGAACCAGCTTTTAGTTTTATTGATCTTTGCTGTTGTTTTCTTTGTGTCTATTTTACTTATTTCTGCTCTGGTCTTTATGATTTCTTTCCTTCTGCTTTGGGTTTTGTTTGTTCTTCTTTCTCTAGGTCCTTTAGGTGTAAGGTTAGATTGTTTACTTGAGATTTTTCTTGTTTCTTGAGGTAGGCTTGTATAGCTATAAACTTCCCCCTTACAACTGCTTTTGCTGCATCCCATAGGTTTTGGTCGTCATGTTTTCATTGTCACTTGTTTCTAGGTATTTTTTGATTTCTTCTTTGATTTCTTGAGTGATCTCGGTTATTTAGTAACGTATTGTTTAGCCTCCATGTGTGTTTTTTACGTTTTTTTCCCTGTAATTCATTTCTAATCTCATAGCGTTGTGGTCAGAAAAGATGCTTGATATGATTGATTTCAGTTTTCTTAAATTTACTGAGGCTTGATTTGTGACCCAAGATGTGACCTATCCTTGAGAATGTTCCGTGTGCACATGAGAAGAATGTGTAATCTGCTGTTTTGGGATGGAATGTCCTATAAATATCAATTAAATCTATCTGGTCTATTGTGTTAGTTAAAGCTTCTGTTTCCTTATTTGTTTTCATTTTGGATGATCTGTCCATTGGTGTAAGTGAGGTGTTAAAGTCCCCCACTATTATTGTGTTACTGTCGATTTCCTCTTTTATAGCTGTTAGCACTTGCCTTATGTATTGAGGTGCTCCTATGTTGGGTGCATATATATTTATAATTGTTATATCTTCTTCTTGGATTGACCCCTTGATCATTATGTAGTGTCCGTCCTTGTCTCTTGTAACATTCTTTATTTTAAAGTCTATTTTATCTGATATGAGTATAGCTACTCCAGCTTTCTTTTGATTTCCATTTGCATGGAATATCTTTTTCCATCCCCTCACTTTCAGTCTGTATGTGTCCCTAGGTCTGAAGTGGGTCTCTTGTAGACAGCGTATATATGGGTCTTGTTTTTGTATCCATTCAGCAAGCCTGTGTCTTTTGGTTGGAGCATTTAATCCATTCACGTTTAAGGTAATTATCGATGTGTATGTTCCTTTACCATTTTCTTAATTGTTTTGGGTTTGTTTTTGTAGGTCCTTTTCTTCTCTTGTGTTTCCCACTTAGAGAAGTTCCTTTAGCATTTGTTGTGGAGCTGGTTTGGTGGTGCAGAATTCTCTTAGCTTTTGTGTGTCTGTGAAGCTTTTGATTTCTCCATCGAATTTGAATGAGATCCTTGCCAGATAGAGTAATCCTGGTTGTAGTTTCTTCCCTTTCATCACTTTATATCATGCCACTCCCTTCTGGCTTGTAGAGTTTCTGCTGAGAAATCAGCTGTTAACCTTATTGGAGTTCCCTTGTATGTTACTTTTCATTTTTCCCTTGCTGCTTTCAATAATTTTTGTCTTTAATTTTTGCCAATTTGATTACTATGTGTCTCAGCGTGTTTCTCCTTGGGTTTATCCTGTATGGGACTTGCTGCGCTTCCTGGACTTGGGTGGCTATTTCCTTTCCCATGTTAGGGAAGTTTTCGACTATAATCTCTTTAAATATTTCCTCTGGTCCTTTCTCTCTCTCTTCTCTTTCTGGGACCCCTATAATGCAAATGTTGTTGTGTTTAATGTTGTCCCAGAGGTCTCTCAGGCTGTCTTCATTTCTTTTCATTCTTTTTTCTTTATTCTGTTCCGCAGCAGTGAATTCCACCATTCAAGCCTTCCAGGTCACTTATCTGTTCTTCTGCCTCAGTTATTCTGCTATGGATTCCTTCTAGTGTAGTTTTCATTTCAGTTATTGTATTGTTCATCTCTGTTTGTTTGTTCTTTAATTCTTCTAGGTCTTTGTTAAACATTTTTTGCACCTTCTCGATCTTTGCCTCCATTCTTTTTCTGAGGTCCTGGATCATTTTCACTCTCATTATTCTGAATTCTTTTTCTGGAAGGTTGCCTATCTCCACTTCATTTAGTTGTTTTTCTGGGGTTTTATATTGTTCCTTCATCTGGTACATAGCCCTCTGCCTTTTCATCTTGTCTCTCTTTCTGTGAATTTTTTTTTCCCCCCCACAGGCTGCAGGATTGTAGTTCTTCTTGCTTCTGCTGTCTGCCCTCTGGTGGATGAGGCTATCTAAGAGGCTTGTGCAAGTTTCCTGATGGGAGGGACTGGTGGTGGGTAGAGCTGACTGTTGCTCTGGTGGGCAGAGCTTAGTAAAACTTTAATCTGCTTGACTGTTGATGGGTGGGTCTGGGTTCCCTCCCTGTTGGTTGTTTGGCCTGAGGCAGCCCAACACTGGAGCCTACCTGGGCTCTTTGGTGGGGCTAATGGCAGACTCTGGGAGGGCTCACGCCAAGGAGTACTTCCCAGAACTTCTGCTCCCAGTGTCCTTGTCCCCACGGTGAGCCACAGCCACCCCCCACCCCTGCAGGAGACCCTCTAACACTAGCAGGTAGGTCTGGTTCAGTCTCCGCTGGGGTCACTGCTCCTTCCCCTGGGTCCCAATGCACACACTACTTTGTGCCCTCCAAGAGTGGAGTCTCTGTATCCCCCAGTCCTGTTGAAGTCCTGCAATCAATTCCTACTAGGCTTCAAAGTCTGATTTTCTATAGGAATTCCTCCTCCCGTTGCCGGGCTCCCAGGTTGGGAAGCCTGACGTGGGGCTCAGAACCTTCACTCCAGTGGGTGGACTTCTGTGGTATAAGTGTTCTCCAGTCTGTGAGTCACCCACCCACCAGTTATGGGATTTGATTTTACTGTGATTGTGCCCCTCCTACCGTCTCATTGTGGCTTCTCCTTTGTCTTTGGATGTGGGGTATCTTTTTTGGTGAGTTCCAGTGTCTTCCTGTCAATGATTGTCCAGCAGCTAGTTGTGATTCTGGTGTTCTTGCAAGAGGGAGTGAGAGCATGTCCTTCTATTCCGCCATCTTGGTTCCTCCCCCTGGGGAAATTTTTATTTAGATTAATTACGGAAGTTAACAGGGCTTGAATTGGTCAGGGGTACCATTCACTGGGGGGCCTAGACTATGTTTGTGTTGTTTATTGCTGAACGCCTACTGCCTTGTAGAAATTCTGGTACAAAGTAATCCTCTAATGAATATTTGTTAGTGAGGTGGGACACTCCAGTTCAGGTGTTTTTGCTCGTGATCTCTTTAACCACGACTATGCTGCCTCCTCCACCAGGGGTCCTCCAGTCTGAATGACTGCTCTCCTTCCACCCCATTCTCCTAGGGAAACAGGGGAGACAAAGACCCTTCCACGAGGGTCCTGTGGTTAGATCTCTGTCATAGAATACCGTTTGGGCCCAGTTTCTATCACTGTGGTGGCTGGGCGTCAGGAGGTAAATGTAGCAGGTCCTGTGAAGGAAGTCTTGCCGGGTAGCCCATAAGTTCTAAGCATTTGGAAGAACAGGGAATCAAGTCTTAACATCAGATGAGGCAGAACTGCTCCGGCTGCCTCGGGTCTCAGTTCTGACTCACGCTTCTCTCTCTGCAGCAGAACCAAAGCCAGAACTCCACCTCGGTCCCTTCCGCCCTCCAGACTTCTCCAGTCAGCAGCTCCGCATGCAGCACGTGCTGTGTAGTCACCCTCCCTGGATCTTCACGTGCTGGTGTGCAGAAGAGCCTGTCCGGCCAGGAGCTCCGTGCCCTGGGGACCAGCAGCAGCAGCAGCAGCGAGCCTCTGATGGAAGTTCCTGGAATGACAAAGCAGAAGGTCAGGAGAGAGAAGGCACCCAGCCTTTGTTTGGAAAGACAAAGAAAAGGACTTCAGGCGTGTTCCCCAGGCCGCAACCCCAGCAGCAGCCGGTCAGCTCTGGGGATGGCATCCAAGGCGTGGAGGGAGTGGCCAGCCCAGCTCAGACGGGGAATCCCGAGGAAACAGACAGACTGTTGAAGAGGATGGAAGTCTTAGGATTTGGAACAGTCAACTGTGGGGAGTGTGGCCTGGGCTTCAGCAAGATGACAAACCTGCTCAGTCACCAGAGGATACACTCAGGGGAGAAGCCGTATGTGTGCGGGGTGTGTGAGAAGGGATTTAGCCTAAAGAAAAGCCTTGCCAGACACCAGAAGGCACACTCGGGGGAGAAGCCCATCGTGTGCAGGGAGTGTGGGCGAGGCTTTAACCGCAAGTCGACACTCATCATACACGAGAGGACACACTCAGGTGAGAAGCCTTACATGTGCAGCGAGTGCGGGCGAGGCTTCAGCCAGAAGTCAAACCTCATCATACACCAGCGGACACACTCCGGGGAGAAGCCCTACGTGTGCCAGGAATGTGGGAAAGGCTTCAGCCAGAAGTCAGCTGTCGTCAGACACCAGAGGACACACTTGGAGGAGAAGACCATCGTGTGCAGTGACTGTGGACTGGGCTTCAGCGACAGGTCGAACCTCATCTCACACCAGAGGACACACTCCGGGGAGAAGCCTTATGCCTGCAAGGAGTGTGGGCGGTGCTTCAGGCAGAGAACCACCCTCGTCAACCACCAGAGGACACACTCCAAGGAGAAGCCTTATGTGTGTGGCGTGTGTGGGCACAGCTTCAGCCAGAATTCAACCCTCATCTCACACAGGCGGACACACACTGGGGAGAAGCCTTACGTGTGTGGGGTGTGTGGGCGAGGCTTTAGTCTCAAGTCACACCTCAACAGACACCAGAACATACACTCAGGGGATAAGCCCATTGTGTGTAAGGACTGTGGGCGAGGCTTCAGCCAGCAGTCAAATCTCATCAGACACCAGAGGACACACTCAGGGGAAAAGCCCATGGTGTGTGAGGAGTGCGGGCGAGGCTTCAGCCAGAAGTCAAACCTTGTTGCACACCAGAGGACACACTCAGGGGAAAAGCCGTACGTGTGCAGGGAGTGTGGGCGAGGCTTCAGTCACCAGGCAGGTCTCATCCGGCACAGGCGGAAACACTCGAGGGAAAAGCCTTACACGTGCAGGCAGTGTGGACTCGGCTTCAGCAATAAGTCAGCTTTAATCACGCACAAATGGGTACACTCGGAAGAGAAGCCCTGTCTATTCAGAGAGTGTGGCCAAGGCTTTCCCCAAAAGTCACACCTCATCTTACATCAGATGACACACCAGGGCAGGAAGCCTTATGTGTGCAAGACGTGTGGACAGGGCTTTAGCCAGAAGTCTCACCTCAGCAGACACAGGAGGATGAAGTCCGCCCACCACAAACTGCGACTTCAGTCTGACCCCGAGGCCTACTCAGAGCAATCTTCTGACCCCTTGCACTCTCTCTGAGAGTGAAGACGGTGGTGAGGACTGGATAATCAAACATCGTACACTTTCATAAAACGCATTCCGTAAGTGGTCAAAGGACATTTGCCTTCGTTTACTTCCTCCATGCTAAGTCTTCATGTTTTGTGGTCTTTTGTTCTAATAAACTGCTTCTTTACAAACCTTGGCTGTGTATTTCATTCACTCCTCTATAAAGATAGGGAATAAGGAGTGTTAACGGAAATCTTGAGCTGTTGAGTCCACTATTCCATAAAAATTCAATTCCTTCTAAGACATAAGAACTGAGTCACTCCGTATTTATTGGAAAAGTCCTGTATAGGGAGAGAATCTGGGGACTGTATTCAGGGGATTTAGGTGAGGGGAGGGAATCTTCCAGGAAATATGGCTTCCCCTAGCCATTCCTCTCATCTGCAGCCCCCTTTCTTGCCCCTCTCCTCCTGGCTCTGAAACATCTACATTGTTGCCTTTGCTGAATCATCCCCTAACTACCTTTATTGCTTTTTTTCAGGCTTTAGTCCCTAGTCCTCATGTCTTGGGGCCCCCTTGACAACATATTGTCCCCAGCACTCCAGTCTCAGAGCCTGGTCCTCCGGCTGTGACAACCTTGGGTCTCCAGTCACACCCATTCAGATCACCAAGAACATGGTGCTCTGATAATGAGACAGCCTGTAAGCAGGTGCCCTCCTAAGCCCTTCGGTAACAGGAGTAAGACTTGAAGCCACATTCCCAAATCAGCCCTGTAACATCAGGGTTAGAACTTCCAGTTGTGCTCCTTGGCACTCCACCCCATGCCCAGCCCTCATGCCAACTATCCAGTAACTGGCCTAAGGTCCCTTAGCCACACACCCTCAAGAGTTAAAACTTAGTTCTCCAACCACAAGGCTGTTTATCATAGTGAAAAGATATTTAATCACATTTGAAGATTCTCAACCATACTTCCTTCATTGTGTTCCCATCCACAGTGGTTTTGCTCTAAACAAGTGGCCTTTAAGGTAAGGATCATCTCAAGGTTGCAGCTATGAAAACCTTTAAGACTTCAGAAGATTTCAGTATGCAGCTCCTAGACCCTACCAACTCCACAAAATGGTTTCTATGAGTTTTGAGGGTATCACCCCACGGCACCCTACACTCAACCCAAACCAGAGAGGGGCCTGACTTGAAAAGGTTTGTAGGTTTGGTTTCATCTAATGGAGTGAAATTCAGTTAAGAGGCATAGGAAACCCAAGACATTTGCAATAGAAACACCAGCTTAGTCTGAAAAGGGCAGAGAAAAATGCCTACGTTTATATGGGCAGGGAGGCAGGCTGAGAAATATACTGATCTGTAAACAGGCCATTTCTTAGGGAAAAGGAAGAATAACAGTGCAGACACAAAAGCCATGAGAGTCACTCCCAGGGGGCAGTACCAGGCACTTGTCAAGGAACTGATGGCATGTGCCCAGCTCAACTCCACAGCCCACACCAGGACACGTGGTCAGACTGTCAAAAGAGAGAATCTTGAAAGCATGGAAAGAGACATGCGACATACAAGAGATCCTCAGTAAGATTGACAGCCGGTTTTCGTTAGACACCATGGATGCCAGAAGGCAGCAGGATGGTATATTTAATGTGCTTGAAAGAAAAAAAAGGTCAACCAAGAATTCTATGTCTGGCAAAAGTAGAGAAGTTGACATTCTCAGAAGGTTTGAGGGAGTTCATAACTAATAGACATGACCTACAAGAAATGCTCAAGGCTGGAACGAAAGGACACTGGACTAGTAACTTGAAGCCATACAAAATGATAATAATAATGCCAGTAGAGGTAACTGCATAGTTATGTATGAAGTCAGTATTATCATATTTTTGGCTTGTAACTTTCTCATACGTGATTTAAAAGACAAATGAATAAACAATCATAAACCTGTTAATGAGCACGTAATGTATAAAGATATAAGTTGTGACAATACAACATAAGATGGGATGGAATTGTATAGAATAATTTTTATATGCTATTGAAATAAAGTTGGCATTAATTCAAACTAGATGGTTAGAAAATTAAGATGATAATTGTAATCTCCAGGGTAATTTTGAAGAAAATAACTAGAAAAAATATACAGAAGTATATCCTGTACATATGTAAATAAGTACATACAGAAATATACAGAATTTATATTTTGAGGAAAAAATCAAAATTATACACTTGAAAAAATTAAACACAAAAGAAGGCAGTATTGGATGAATTGGGGAACAAAACTTATATAAGCTATACAGAAAATACCACAGTTGCAAAAGTATGTCCTTATCAGTAATTACTTTGAATATAGATGGGTTAAGCTCTCCAATGAAGAGGGACACCAGCAGAATGGATTAAAAAACACATGATCCAACTATATGCTATCTCAGAGATACTCACTTTAGATCCAAAGGCACAAACAGGTTGAAAGTGAATGAATGGAAAAAAGGATATTCCATGCAAATAATAACCAAAACAGAGGTGAGGCAGCTATACTAATACCACAATACTGGACTTCAAGTCAAAAATTGTTTCAAGAGGGCTTCCCTGGTGGCGCAGTGGTTGAGAGTCCGCCTGCTGATGATGCAGGGGACGCAGGTTTGTGCCCCGGTCTGGGAAGATCCCACATGCCGCGGAGCGCTAGGCCCATGAGCCATGGCCGCTGGGCCTGCATGTCCAGAGCCTGTGCTCTGCAACGGGAGAGGCCACAACAGTGAGAGGCCTGTGTAACGCAAAAAAAAAAAGTTTCAAGAGACAATGACATTCTATGTTGATAAAAGGGTTAATCCATCAAGAAGATGTAACAATTACATACACACCTAGTAACAGTGCCCCGCAACGTATGAAGTAGACAATTACATACACACCTAGTAACAGTGCCCCGCAACGTATGAAGTAGACAATTACATACACACCTAGTAACAGTGCCCCGCAACATATGAAGTAGACAATTACATACACACCTAGTAACAGTGCCCCGCAACATATGAAGTAGACAATTACATACACACCTAGTAACAGTGCCCCGCAACATATAAAGTAGAAAGTTAACAGAATTGAAGGGAGGAATAGTTCTACAATAATAATTGAAGATTTCAATGCCCCACCTTAAATAATGGATGGAGAAACTAGACAGAAGATCAATAAGGAAACAGAGGACTTGAGCGTTACTGTAAACCAACTAGACCCAACAGACATGCACAGAACACTCCACCCAACAGTGGAATACACATGCTTCTCCAGTGCATGTGGAATATTCTCCAAAATATGTAGGGCCATAGAAAAGTTCTCAATAAATACTAAAAGATTGAAATCATACTGGGTATCTTCTCTGTCTGACCACAATAAAATGAAACTAGAAATCAGTAACAAGGAAAACTGGAAATTCCACAGATGTGTGGAAACAACACACTTGCAAACAACCAGTGGGTCAAAGAAGGAATTGCAAGGGAAACTAGAAAATGCTTTGAATGGAGCAATGAATGCCTGCTGCTAAGGTTTCCACCATGGGTGCAAGGAAGAAGTTTTCTGATGCCATTTGTCTGATTATGACAGCTAAAATCAAATGGGGAAACATGGGAATTTTAAAACACAGAGGGGGCAGATAATTTTTCAACTCAACCTTGTAAACAGCAGAGCCTGTTATACTCCAAAAAATGTAAAAAGTGAAAACAAGGAATCTAAAATTTGAGTTTATATTAGCAATGCTGGAAAATTATTTCCCTTACACCCTTGCCTTCTGGTTGATTCCACTTTAAAAACTAAAAGATCAAAATTAATTTTTTGTCAAAATTAATTTAGATTAAAAGGAAACTAATGACTATTCAATTTTAAATTGCTTTGAGATGGATGAAATGAAAACACAACGAAACTTACGGGGTACAGCAAAAGTAGTGCTCAGGAAATTTATAGCTACAAAGGCCTACGTTTAAAAAGAAGGAAGATCTAGGGGCTTCCCTGGTGGTGCAGTGGTTAAGAATCTGCCTGCCAATGCAGGGGACATGGGTTTGAGCCCTAGTCAGGGAAGATCCCACATACCGTGGAGCAACTAAGCCCTCACGCTGCAACTACTGAGCCTGCGAGCCACAACTACTGAGCCCGTGCACCACAACAAAGAGTAGCCCCCGCTCGCCACAACTAGGGAAAGCCCACATGCAGCAATGAAGACACTGCAGCCAAAAATAGATAGATTTTTAAAAATTAAAAAATAAAAAGAAGATCTCAAATCATGAACCTAAGCTTTGAACTTAGGAAACTAGAAAAAGGGCAAACTCAAACTTGAAGCAAGGATAAAAGAACAAAGATTAGAGTGGAAATTAACATAGACAATAGAAATTAATAGACACAAATCAATGAAACAAAGTTTCTTTGAAAAGAGCAACAACACTGGGCAAACTTTTAGCGAAACTGACCAAGACAAAAAGAGAGAAGCCTCAAATGACTAAAATTAGAAATTAAAGTGGGCCGTTACTAATGACTTTACAGAACCGAAAAGGATTATAAGAGCATGCCGTGAATTATTGTGTCACCAAATTAGTTAACCTAGATGAACAGATAGCTTGAAACATACAAACCCTTAATCCTGTATAAATAGGAAATCTGAACAGACCAATACGAATAAGGTGATCGAGTCAGTAATCAAAAACCTTCCAACAAAGTAAAGCCCGGAATCAGATGGCTTCGCTGGCGACTTCTACCACTTAAAGATTTTACACCAATTCTTCTCAAAATCTTACAAAACCTCTTCCTAATTCATTCTGTGAGGCCAGTATTACCCTGATACAAAGCCTGACAGAGACAACATGAGAAAACTACAGACCAATATCCTTTATGGACCTTGATGGAAAAACCCCCAACAAAATGCTAGCAACCAAATCCAGCAGCACGTTACAAGGATTTTATACTATGACGGAGTGGCTTCCTGGTTCAGCACAGGAAAATCCATCAATACAATACACACGTTCATAGAATGATGGTTAAAACACACACACAAACATGCACACATTCCATTTATATGAAATACCCAGAATAAGCCAATCCAAAGAGACACAAGGCAAATTAGTGGTTGCGAGCGGCTAAGGAGAAGGGGGAAATAGGGAGTATCTTCCCTATTAGTGATAAAGGGCTGCCATTTGGGGTAATAAAAATGTTCTGGAACTAGACAGTGATGA